GAATCATTTACTGCTTGCAAACCAATGATGGTAAGATGATGTCATGGGGTAGGACTGGATAAGTCTGACTTCTTCCTACTCCATTCAAGCATGTACTAGGTATAAGCACATTGATATTGGATTAGCATTTGTTGGATATGTGTAAAATTATGTGTGTTGACATATCAACTGTCTTTACATGCTTGAAAGAATAAATCAAATCAAATCAAATAAAAAAAAATCAAATCATCTCTGATTTGTCTGTTCATGTTAGGTAACAATACGCCACCTTTGATTTTCCTATGTGGATACAACTTTGCATCTTATACAGCAGGATGAGTAGTGAGCGGCTCTTACATGGACTTTGATGCCGTTATCTAACCATTGTATTGTATTGTGGGTTTAGTGGCGCAACATTACAGCAGAGGTGTAGCATGAGAATCAGGACGTGACAGGGAGACGGGGAGGATGATGAGGGGACAGGAAGGCAGCCGCTGCATCAGGCTGTGAATATGAGAGACATGGGGCACAGGCCGTCAGGCAGCTTTATACAAGATCCCTCCACCGTGAAAATGCAAATTCATGATTGGACTCTGGATGAAATTGATATTTCATGGCAGGGAGGACAGGCTGGGCAGATCACACACATGAATGTAGGGAGGGGTCAGCCTCATTCAGCTGGAAATGTCAGGTCAGGGAAGGTGAGAGTGATGCCGAAGTGTCTGTGATGAATCTGCTCTTTTACATTAGATCTGTTTTAATCAGTCAACAGGCAGATGAGACGGTCTGACCCATCTCTGACCTGCTGACCACACAACTGCAGTAACGTCTCTGTGGAAACTGAATGAAAATGACATCAGTGGGTCAGTGGTGGGAAGTAAATGAGTATTTACACAAGTACTGTATTTTACCCTAGTATTTCTATTTTTGGACTTCTGCTTTCCCACTTTTCAGCAGAAAAGGCTCTAATTTTACTCTGTAGCTACTTTTCAGATGAGACTTTACTTCACACAGCATTAAACCAGTGTTTCCCAGCATCAGTACTTCTAGTGACCCTGCAAAACACTGTCAGTTGGTGGCCTTTATTATCCTTATCCTTTATTAAGCCCCAGATGTCTGAGCCGAGTCTCTCACTTCTACCAGGTCTTCCCCAAATTATCCAATATTACAAAACTAGTCCAAAAAGCCTTGATTTTCCTTCTTTGCTACCTGATTAAATTAACTCGTGGCCCTTTGGAGGGGCCCAACCCCTAGGTTTGGAACCACTGGACTAAACTAGAGAACTGTACATAAACAAGTTAAAACCTGGGTGTTTTCAGTGGTGGAAAGTATTTAGTCAAGTACTGTAGTTTGCATTTTACTTTAATATTTCTGCTTTATGCTACTTTATACTTGTTTACTACATTTCAAAGGAAACATTTAGTCACCATTAATAAGAGCTTCAGTCTTTATTTACATTGCAAACGTAGAATACTCACTTAACAAATTAGATTAGATTCAACTTGTCATTACTCATGTGCAAGGCAACGAAATACATTTTAGCATCTAACCAGAAGTAATAACAGCAGCGCAGAGTGTATCTACAGTCTGTACAGTCAGAATTAACTTAACTGATATGTACAACTGATATTTACAGTTAGATAAAATAACCAACAAATAAATAACAGATTAAGCTTCTCAGCGCTTTATAAAATAGTAGTAGTATCGGCTGCAACACTGAAGTGATGAAAACATTGATCAATAATATATTTCTTTTACTAATAATGCCATACAGAATGATGTAAAGCAACTTTATTTACATAGCACATTTTCATGCACAAAGACAGCTCAAAGTTCTTCATACAAATTAAAAGCAACTATTGCATGACGGCACAAAGCAGCAACACGCAGTGGGTAGTGAACCTGTAGGATGGGCAGTGGGACCCGTAACACGGGCAGTGGGCCCCGCAGGATGGGCAGTGGGCCCCGTAGCACAGGCAGTGGGCCCCGTAACACGGGCAGTGGAACCCGCAGGACGGGCAGTGGGCCCCGCAGGACGGGCAGTGGGCCCCGCAGGACGGGCAGTGGAACCCGCAGTGGGCCCCGCAGGACGGGCAGTGGGACAATGCTCCCTGTTCTCCTTACACTTTCTACCTCTTCAGTCTGGAGCCTTGAAACACCAGCGCTGGTCAGGGACTAATGGAAGAGAGACAGAAGCGGATACAGTGGAAAACATGAGTAGAATTAAGCAGTAAAAAAAGAATTAGAAGAAGAAGCTTTATTTTATTGTCACTGTAACATTGTGACATACAACAAAATTTTGTTTGGAGCCAAGGGCCCCGGGCCGCTGCGTGCATATGCGCCGCCATCACGGGCAACATGGGGGGTTCAGTGTCAGCCAACTTATAAAGTTTAACCCACTTAGATTTCTTTGGCAGGAAGGACAGAAGGAGAAAGAGAGCGACCATGTATCACTGTCTCCCTCCGTGACTGGGTTGCCTGGTGTGTTGACATGTCCAAGTGTTGTGGAGATCTTTGTAAGAGGGGGAGTTGGCATAGTAACCAGTAAAGCACAGAGCTGCATTCAGACAGTTGTAGTCCTCAGCTGACTCGCTGTGCAGTGTTTTCTGGGCCCTTTCTTTTACATGGGAATCCATTACAAAGCTGCAGGAAATACTAAAACTCTCAAGGATCCAGTATCACTGAAAGTGTGCATATTAGTCGCTGCAAGTTGCAGTGTCCATACTCGTTCATATGTCGCAAGCAGCAAGGCCAGTTGTATTCAGTGGGGGTGTGTGTGTGTGCGCCCAGCTGTGCCTACGCTCAGAAAATAACCCATTGGATGAAGTCAATTTAACTGTGGGCAGGATTATTTAAGTACTTAATTTGGGTTGGGGCCACAGAATTACTGGATGGAAATCCTGCCCACAGTTAAATTGACTTCATCCAATGAAGTGTCTTTCAAGTGTATCACTGGATGATGCAAGTCTTCCTTACAGCACGTCATGGTGAAATACTGCTGCTGCAAAATCAGCTAACTTTTCATGCAGTGAGCTTTTCTCACACTCAACAGCAGAGCGGTGTGACCAAACACTGCATGTACAGCTGTATGCAAAGGCCCAGGCGCCCCTGTGTTTGAGGGGAAGTCAGCACAGCCTCTGCAGCAGACAGATGTTAAAAACATCTTCAGAAATGAATTGAACAGCTAAGAGTCTTTTTTCCCCAGCCTGTCTTGCTGCAGATCACTTCATGTTTGGAGATATTTTAGGCTGCCTTACGTGCACTCAGCACGCTGAGTGTGTCCCCACGGTGATGTTCAGGGCAGAGACTGTGAGGACCGCTCCGGTCAGCTCGTGTTTCTCAGAGTAATGGTGGATTTTGACATCATCGTCGGCCTCGTTTCACTTGCTTGACTGGCTGCAGGATGTTTGATGTAGACTTTGCTGATAGTGACGTTCCTGGACTAAATAGTAAGGTGCAGGCTGAAGACAAAACGAGCCTCATTTTCGGTTTGCAGCACTCTAACCCTAACCCTCCTAGGGTGCAGTCACACAGCTTCACCCTCTAACACTTTGTGTGAGTGAACGTGACTGCTGTTTCTCGGCTGTTGATTATTCATGCCTTGCTGTGCGCTCCCTCTGAACCTTCATGTGTAATCAGGGAAGCAGTAAGACAAACTCTCCCTCGCCAGTGTTTCCATTCATGTTTCTAGTCAAGTAAACACTCATTCTTTTGGCTGATGCATTTAAGATGGCTACCACAGAATCATATTTTGTTGGAGAGAGCTTTCGCTATAGCTATTAAATTCTTGAGCATAACCTTAGTCCAGATCTTCTTCCCCTGTTGAACGCAGACACATTGTCAGGCTGTAAATATTATGTTGACAGTTTATACTTGGATGGTAACTGACAGACCGTAAACAAAGCAGAGAGGCTCACTTGTCTCTAGCTATGTCAGACGCTGTAAAAAAAAAAAAATTGTGGTTGCTTGGAGAAACGTTTTTAACGGATCTGTGGGTCTGGTGTTTCACAGTGAGGAAACGTCACCCAGTGCAGCGGTGTGTTTTACTGGTGTGTTTTTAAACAATAACAGAGGTCGATGGCTCAAACAAAGAAGATAATCCAAGTTGAAGAAATATGTTTGACTCTCCTCAGGTCGTTGCTGACATTTACCATCTGGGTTAAGAAACAGATTATTAATACATCACTGTGTTGATGTGCTGCTGCACATCTAAAGAAAGGGAGAGTTCGTGTTAGATTAAATGGGTGTCCGCGTCCCCCTGCGTAGAGACACCCGTCAACCTAAGCTGCATATCTTTGGACTGTGGGAGGAAGCCGGAGCACCCGGAGAGAATCCACACAGAAGGGTCTCGGGTGGGGCCCGAACTCGGAACCTTCTCGCTGTGAGGCAACGGTGCTAACCACTGCGCCACCGTGCTGCCCTGACTCTATTGATCCCAGTAGGAAATCCACCAGCTACCCAGCAGGATGGAAAGTACTTCCCAGTATAAGTATATCAGGCAGTTCTCCACCTTTACCAGCTGCAGCATTAAAGTGATGGACACAGTAATTAGTCACTATGATCCAGTACCAGAGATGTTACGTGGCTACTTTTTCTACTTTAAGTATATTTTGTTGCTAATACATTTGTACTTTAGTAGCAGGACTTTTACTTATAGCAGAGTATTTTTACACTGTGGTATTTCTTCTTGTACTTAAGTAAAGGTTCTGAGTACTTCTTCTACCTTTGCTTTTGTGTGGTACAGGAGGTTGTTGTGCTTCTTTTTGAACCAGTATCATCTGTGACAAAGCTTCCATCCTAATATCTATAATGGTTTTGTTCTCCCTCCCTAAGCCCCCTCCCAAGCCATCACCCCAACTTATACAGCACACCCCCCATCCGTACAGCAAACTCCCCTACAATAATCTGTTGCAACCTCCAGCAAAACACACCTGTCTTGTGATTTTAGTTTTGTCAAATTTCCTTTATTTCATTTGTACACTCCAAACTGTCCTCGTTGTTTTTTGTTTGGGTTCAATTTCCTTTTTGGTTTTTACTCTTGATTTCTTTAACATGTCTTTTATTTAACCCTCTAACCCTTCTCCATCCAAAACTCCCTGTCCTTTACCCCTCTCCTCCCCTCCCTCCACCCTCCGTGCCCTCCTTTCCCTCCACCTCCTCCCTTCCTACCTCCCCCCATCCCTCCCCTCCTCCAGTTTAGAGACCGCCAAATCCACCGCCCAGTCCTCCTCCATGCCGTCTCCCGTTGAACTGACCATGAGCTTCACCCAGCCCGCTCCCCCTGCCTCCGCCTCGTCCTCCTCTTCCTCCCCCCTGGCAGCGATGGGCACTGCACTGCCCCATGCTCCCATTCTGGGCACTCCCTATGCCCTCCCCCTCTCCAGCTTCCTGGGAGTGAAATCCATCCCCTACCTGGCACTCTCCACCCCTCCTGCTTGGCGGCGGCGGCAGCAGCAGCTATCGGGGCTCCTGTGCTACCGGGGTCAGTCCCGGCTCACGCAGCAGCAGCCCTGGCATCCTACACAGCCAAGATCTCATCCTCGGCCAACGGGATGAAGAAGCCAGAGAGACAGAAGTTTGCTCCGTACTAACAAAGGAGGAGGTAACTGCTTGCATCACTGAGGTAGCTTCTGCGCTGGTTTTCAGATGGGAAGGGCACTTTTATTTCCTTTGAACCTTTGACCTTTTCTTTCTCTGCCTCTCCACCTCCTTTTCCTGATCTCCCAAAAATGTCAAAGTGGGATAATTGGAGCACGTATGATTTCTGATGGCACCGGTGTGTCCACCACATGATCTCAGCTGCACCACACAGCAAGGTCGAGCTATTTACCCTGACGACATGACAACTACACTACAAATGTTCAGTTTGTAACACCAGTAACTAGAGGCCAATACAAACAACTAACTGAAGTACTGAAATACCAAAGAGTTGAGTGGCAGCTGTAACAAGCCAATGACCTTGGCTGGAGTCTCTGGTCTTTTACCATTGCTAATCCATTCAGGTTCCAGGGACTGACTTGCACTGAAGCTACTCGTGTCAGGTGAGCTCACACAGTTTAACATTTTACTCTTTGATTACAGAACGAATTAGTTTATGTCTAGGTACAACTTTAGGCCTCTGTTTTTATTAGCGGTCCAGGATTCTCAGTTAAAACAGCAGTGGTGTCACACAGCTCTGTTTTAATGTTAGCAGCTAGTGGTTAGCAACAGTAGTCGCTTACCATTAATCACCTAACACACAGAGAATTATAAGCCCCAGCTAATTGTGCAGTTCTTTGTCCCTGGCCTACAGCATTTCCAATCAGCTCCATTATACAGACAATCCTGAAAATGATTTACTTTTATACTAATAAGCCTTACCAAACTCCAGTAATTAGTAATGCCATTAAATACATGTGTTGGTAATGAGTTAATGCTAAAAACTGCGGGACTGTTGCCATCCGCTAGCTGCTAACGTTAGCACTGCTGTTATTAACTGACAAGCCTGGACTGGCAGGAAACAGATGAGGTACTGAGTCATAGCTAAGATGCTGTCTGAATTTAGAATGTTATTCTGTGTGATGTCACCTGAAATATAAGAGAGAAATGTTATAGAAACATTTACACATTTGTTATGCCTCACGTGGTCGGTGTCTGACTTCCTGTCAGCCATGACAGGCTACCTGTTCTCTGTTTCTTCTTTGGCTGCGCTCTGATTGTGGCACTAGTGCGACTGATTTAACCTGTGTCTGGTTGACTGTCTAGCCTGCTCTCTCTTTCCTGTCGGTGCTAGATCCATCTCTCGCTAGATGCAGAGCCGGTTTGCTCGTGTGAAAGCCCAGTTCTGTTATTACCCAACATGTCCATGCAGATTCTCAGTCATCCAGGTCATAGTAAACCGAAATAACCTTAGAAAAAATCAACTGGACTTGGATTTTCTAGATCGAAGAGGCTTCATCAGTTCTGACTGACTGGTGTTGAGCCGGAGATATTTATCCCCCTCGGTGGTGTTTCAGTCCTTTGAAGGCCAACAATGTCCCTTAACAACTGAGTCGTTACAGCCCAGTAACGGCTCAACACCAGTCAGTCAGAACTGATGAAGCCTCTTGGATGAGAGGTGAAACATCTTCGATCTAGAAACGCCAAGTCCAGTTGATTTTTTCTAAGGTTATTTCGGTTATTACCCAACCTGTTTCTGCCTTGGAGTCTCAAATTTTGTCTCAGCCCTCTTCAGATAAGCAAGCCTGCTTTCTGCCTCTGCTTGACCTTTTGGTCTAGTCTATATTTGTTTATGTTTGGAACAATAAGTATTAACAGCTATTAACAGTTCACTTTTTGCTACACACAATTGGATCCACAGCCAGCTGTCATTGAATTATTTGATACTAAAGAATTCGTTAAAACCTGTTGAGTTTCAAGCAATGTCTGCAACATTCCAACCCCTGAATTATTTCATAATTACGAGGTCATAGTTATGAGATATGGAATAGTAGTAATAGTAATAGTAAGTCATACCAAGTCATAATGAGGAGCTAAACCTGGCAGAGAGATCTGTTTAACAGGGAGACCTGACTCAGAAAAAACAGGCGAGTAGTGTGCACCGAGTACAGATGAAAGAGTACAACTTGGATAAACAGCTTCTATTCTATGGAAACACATTGTATTCACCAAGGGAAAAAATTGGAAGCTCTTATGACTTACCATCTCATAATTATGAGATGGATATTACATGATTTCTCAGATGTATTTATTTTAGTGAATGCAGTGCGTTTCTGTAGAAGAGAAGCTGTTTTTCCTGAGGTTTGTCTCCCAGGTAAACAGATAACTTTGCTAGCATTGTGGTCAGCCATTGTCCTGCAAAACTGCCTTGACATTCTCACCTGTCTTTACCTGCATGAGCCATCTTTTACATCACTTGACGCCCTCTTCTCAATGCCATTTCAACTTCTCAGTGCGCTGTCTCTGGTCCCCAGCTGTCAGGGATTCTCCTTTTTCCTGTAAGAAGAGAGAGAGATTGATATCTGTGATTATCAGGAACATTGGACCACCATTTCTCAGTTGTATCTTTTGTCTGTTCTTCTTAGTAGAGGAGGTCAAGCAGCCCTAGAGTGCCATTTCACCGCTCAGTCCACAGAGCGGCTTTGCCCGATTCTCAAATCCCACAATAAACATTTATATCTACTGACAACTCTGTCGTGCTTTTGTGTCCATCCAACCTCTCAGACCTGAAAATGGTTAAAGCATTTTGTTATTGACACAGTCTCTGGAACACAGCCGAATTAACTGTAATTAACGGTAAATGCCAGAGACCTCCGGCTCATCACAGTTGCCACTCCAGCATTATTACGCCTAACCCATCAGATACGCAACCAAAACACGGTGACCTGCAACCAAACCTGTGCACAGAGAGCAAAACTTACAGGCAGGCAACAAAATCAGACAAACTGCAAACAGAGAAAGTGTTAAATTATATATTTCAGTTTGAAATGAAAATCGTTTTGATTTCAGTCAGTTTATATTTGAAAACCAAAACATATTTAGTTTGCAGTCCTGAAGCTTTGCTCTCAAACTTGTTTCCTCTGCCTGCAGAATAAAGAAACAAAGTTACTTCCATATGGGTTTGGATTAGACATCTAAACATTCCTGTAGTACATGTAGACTCACCCTTCAACCAGAGACAATGCAAATGAAGGCCATTAAATCAATTACTCCATAAATTACATCTAGTTTGATTTGACCAAAGTAATTTTCTAAAATTTCCCTGTCGTGGGACTAATAAGGGTTCATCTTATCTTATGTCATGATTAAAGGTGCATTAACTAATTTCTCTTCAGCCCCTAGAAGGTCTAGTGAAACTCAGAACATCCTGACATCTAGCAATGACAAACTACAGGTGCCTGGTTGGGACAAAACGCAGCCACCAGTACCAAGCTACCATCAGCTGATTAACAAGTCCCAAGTCTCCAACAGCGCTGCAGTGGCACAGTGTCGAGTGACAAGGTTGACGAGACAGTGCTGAACAGGACTAACAAAGCACTGGCATTATACAAACCTCAGATTTCTCCCAAATTAAAAACATATTAATTCAACACAAAGGTCAAATCCTGACCATGCTAGGTGGCTAATGCTACCAAAACAAACAGGTTAGCTTTAGATGCTAACACACCCAGAAGGAAGAAGGCCACATCTGGATCCAGTCTGAGTCCTCTGGCTGCTTTTAACCCTCTCCATGTCAAACAGCCAAACCCATGTTAACCCTGGTTGTTGCTTGTGTTACAACAACCCTTCTAACCTTGGCTAGGCGGCAGGCGGGGCTGATTTACAGAAGGTTAAAGGTTCAAATCTCGGTGCTGGCAGTCCGTGTGTCGTCGTCCCCCCCCCGGCTGCGCCACATCATAATGTGCCAGTAATCCCACTTTGTATCTTTCCCTGAACATTGATTGTTTGATTGTTTCTGCACCTCTGCCCTCAGAGCGACTAGTGCTTGCAGCTACTGTACAGTGACACTGATATTTAAGGTTATTTGGGCCACACCGCCTGTGAAAGCCATAGAGACTATCCAGCTTTCCCCCTCCTTGTCGGTTTCCTGCTCTTTTTGTCTCCTATTCTATTGTATATGCTCATATTTATTGACTAATATGAAATATTGCCTCAGAGAGTTTGTATCACTGGTCACTAACACTGAGCTGAACAACTCTGATTTTGTACACGGTGATATCTGTCTGTGTGTGTGTGACTATTTTTCTTTATTTTTAGGCTTTGTTGTAAAGTTTTTTAGAATATACAACAGGTTTAAAGACTTTGTGTTAACACTCTGTACTTGTTTTCATTCACAGTTCTCATTTGACATGTTTAAATTATTTTTTTAACTTATTAAAATGAGTATTACATTTACAGTTTTAGGGGGAAAAAATGTTTTCCAACATGGCTGCAGGTAAATAACTGTAAAACTAAGTTTTTTTTAAGCTGTGTGAACAAAATTAATTTTGTTTTGGAGAAAAGAATAATAGTCACTGTACCATTAATGCTAAAAACCAGATGTTTTGGGTTAGATAAAGGTGTAAAAGTTGTGTTTTTATTTGTGAGCTGGGACATTTTACCACACACACACTTTCTAAACGGGATGGGCTTAAATCTCTGCCCTGCTTCTCAGCTGTCAGCGGCTACAGAACTAGAGTACAGTCAACCACACTTCCTAGCCACCGTAGCAGGTGATAAAAACGCACTAGAGACGCAGACAGTTCCTGTTTCTTGAGAGTTTTAAAGGTGCAACAGTGACGCACTGTAATGCTGCTGTTCCATACACCTGCAAGTGACAGACAGTAACTTCTGATTTTAGTTTCATTTTGTTTGAAATGTCTGCAGGAAGGAACTCGGGTACACTGAGCTCAGAGAGCCAGACATGTCAGCATCTTATAAAGTCATTCCTGGGTGGGTACCACTGATCAATAATCCTGTCAGACTGCAGTGAGAGGCAGAAAATATCTGGCTCAACACAATTCAAAGCAAAATGTTCCTGTAGATTTAAGGAACAATCCATCACTCACAGAAAACAAGGGACGGAGTCCGTGCTTTAGCTAAAACAGATATAAAATACTTGAGTAGAGTTTAACTCTACAGGTTATTTTTATACTTCAAATACTGACCTGCATTTATCTGGCATCTGCAGTTTAGTTACCTTCAGTTTCAGCTGATAAAATACCACACGATGACTATTTAAACCAGTGTTTCTCAATCTTTTCAGCTGGTGGCCCCTGGCATAACAAGCAGCACCACAGTGGGGCCCCATTACCACGTTACCGATGCCTACGAGTCGTTCGGTTTCACAAAGACACATTATCATTCAACTTCTCACACCGCTCCATTTTATTCAAGTCCAGAGAACCAAAAGCTGGTGACCCTCTGAACGGGCCCGGCCCCCATGTTGGGGGTCGCTGGACTAAACTGGCTCAGTGTTTAATGTAGCTCCAGCAGTAAAATGCTGCTCAATCACTAGCAGCGTTTACATGGACCCTAATTTTCCACTAATAATCCAAAAAACTGCCCAATCAGAATAAAAATGCGTCATGTTACCACCTCAGTCAGAACCTCAGTCCAGCACAATCGGAAAGAACCACAAACTGTGCACGAGCTTCTAACATCTACTTGAAGCTGTGTGTGACCTTCTATGCTATTTTCACTCACTGCACTGCACTGGACAGTGACGTCACCCAGGAAAGGTGGTGCGTCGACCAATCACATAAGTGGGACGATCGGGGACGTGGACGCCCACAGGACGGAGACTCTTTGTCTACCTTGTTAGCACGAGCATTCACTGCTATTAAGTTTTGAATGTGAGCCACAGTTAACGCACCGTGTGTTTTCCTCAGTACTGGATGTTAAATGGTGTTTTTATCCACCAGTGATGACACTGGTGGTAGAACTGGTGCTAAGGTAGAGTCGGCTACGTTAGCAACACGGCTAACCAAAACACAACGGAAACTCAGGGCTGGAAACATGAATGAAGCCAGTCATGTCGACTTGTCACAACACAGCCGTATCACACCTACAACACTCCCCCTGCAGCCCCTCACCCCCCAACCGAGTTGCAGAGTGACAGCAGAAGGCAAATATGTGTGTGTACAAATGTGTTGATATTTAATCTGACGGCTTGTCGATGCACAGAGTCTCTGTTCCTTCCATTTTAAAACTAATGTGGTATATTAAACAGTCTCACTTATTTTTATAAAGTCAGAAAACCTGAACTCAGCTGTGGACACTGATTCACCGACCCACTCATCTGCCCTCACTACATATTCACATCCATTTCTTTTCCCCCTGGTCATTGTCCATCATCCATTAGCACGAGTCTGACTTGAATTGATGCCTATGCAAAAACATCTCTGTGGTTCAGCTCAGTGATCCGTGTGTGGGTTTCAATGGAGGCTGTGCTGCTGCTGAAATGAAAGGGCTACTGTAGACTATGGGTCTGACTCGCAATGCATCTGCCCTGATGATCACTTCATCATTAGTTTACAAATGGACAGAACAAAGTCCCGTCCAGAACCTGCTGTAAGACTAAATGACACCACAGCTCACGTTAGGCTACAGGCCTTAATGCTCAGTTCAGATGTTGGGACCCACATAGAAATAAAGGCAAAATGCACCAAACAAATCTTAAAAAAGAAAAATTCTGATCAGATACAAATGATTAAATAGGATTCAAATATAAGTAACTTTCAGAAAACATTAACCACAACATACGGCACTATGAACAGAAGTTTAACTGGAAGAGCATGACCTGACATCTCTAACCTTAAAAGGTGAATTGTGTGATACTGGGGAATCTAGCATGAGTCTAGAATAAACCGCCCAGTCCTCCGTCTCCCTGCTCGCTTCACCTGACCCTTCATGAACGCCAAACCAGTCGCACAGTGTCACAGCTTGGAGAAAAACTGGTGGCCACTAAAATAGTCCCTTAACCAAGCTGTACGTCCTGCCTCATGTCTGCTGTAAACACAGCACAACTGGGTAGCAACGTCCACTGCAGGACACATTCACGGCCAGTGCAGTTTGTGAACATCGGCAGAGAAAGAACGAGTTCCAAGTTTTCTATCGCTCAGAGAACACGCCATTGAAAACATCTGAAATTTAATAAAACACACTGGAGTGTAGCAGCATCTGAAGAGAGAGAGGTACAGTTAATAAAGCACAGCTATCACAGCATCAGTTGCTAAACAACCAGGCTCCTGGTTAGTGGACACAACAACACATTCAGCTGGTGGGCATCAAAATAATGTAATTCACGGCCCCAAACAGCTGTGGCAGACCGACTGGGTGGCTTGTGTACGAGCCTGCCTGGATGTAACTGATTATTATAACTGAAAGCAGCAGCATCCTTAGCTTAGCCAGGCCATTGGCTTGAATGCTTATCTACTACTTTAGATAATTAATTCACACCATACCAGTCAAGCAGAAAGAATGCCAAGTCAGCATCCAAAAACACTACATATAGTAG